AATTTTTTTTTTTTTTTTTTTTTTTTTTTTTTTTGTGAGAAAAAGGATTTTTTTTTTTTTTTTTTTTTTACCAAAATCAATATTTGGTAAGAAAGGCATGGTGTTTTCTTTCTTCCTTTCTTTCCTTATTTCTTGCTTTCTTTCTTCTTTTTAAAAAAATAAAAAATAAAAATCACTTCAAAATATATTTTAAGAAAGTAAATAAACAGAACACAAGAAATAAATAGCAAAACACAAAAGAATGAACAAATATGGCAAGACCTAAACAGCACTAATGGACACAGAGATAGGAACCGAACTCGGAATAATAAAATGATTTAAAAAAACACTAATACAAGTGAAGACAAAAACTAAAAATCCACCAATTGGATCTTGGCTGTGTTTATAACAAAATCAAAGATGGTTTGTTTCCATTGGAAGTTGTTTAGGGCATGAGAGTGTTGATGCTAAAAACAGCTGCCTCCTGCATTTTTCAGGTTTCTACGCGATAAAATGGTTTCGATCGGCATTTGCCACTTCCAGATACTGTATGCACTGTATGCGTGTGATCTCTCCTTCTGTAAATGGCAATGAGCTCCAGGTGAAACACACTCTGGGATCTTTTCGTCTTGTTGGTAGACATTAAAAGTTATCGTCGTGTTTTCAAATTCAAGCTTCTCTAATAAACCTGTGGTGTGAACGCTGAAGCAACTTGGAAACGGACATCGTCTTCCTTCCTCTTTTATCCGCCTAAAAAAAAATCTCCTGGGAAACGCGAACCCCTGCTAGCAAAGAGAACACCCCTCTGGCTCAGGACTATTTAAAGCTGAAGCCTAACTTATCATGGGCTTTCTTGACGCCCACATCTATTTTTCACATTTGGGTGCAGGGGGAGTCGTCAGGGGGAGGAGATGGTGTTCTCTCACCCACACTGTGCATGAGTTACAGAGTGGGATCGGTTTTGGCTGCAGCAGCAGCAGTTTTAATCACGCTGAAACTACCAGCCTCGGCGTAATTTATTAGGATTGTTAGATATGAGCAACCGAAAGTACAGCTTGGTTATAAGAGAAAGCAAAAAGGATGGAAGGTATTGCTTTTTGCTTCATCTGAAAAGTGTGGCATACATTTGTACTTTAAAAAAAAAGAAAAAGGTGGGTGTGATTTTCTTTTTTTGTCTTTTATTGTTTCCTGGCTTACATGCAAAATGCTGCGTGATGGAAAATTTTTCTTCAGCAGTAAAATGGAAACATCTCAAAAGTCGACGGAAGGATCAAAATATGGGACGGACCTGGAAGAAAACCTGTCAGAGGACTGCAGAGGACTCAAACCTGAAGAGGAGGTTCACCTCAACGCAAAACAGCGACCTAGAACCTGCAACCAGAGCAACAATCCAATGATTAAGCTCAAACTGCATTTATATGCTACAGCAGCCTTTAAATCCACAGTTAAATCCAGTTGACCAAACCTGAAAACTGACTTTCGCACACGCTCCAACACGCCTCCCATAAGATCCCAGTAAAACATATGGTAGCTTGTGGCTGCAAAATAAGAAAAAGAAATAAACATTTAAGGAGCGAAATCCAGTGCAAAAGCCTGGCACAGAAGAGCTCTGAACCGAGATCAAACAAAGCAAAAGCTCCAGGTTCCATTAAAGCTTTGTGAAGGGTGATGAAAGGAGAAACGGGTTGCACAGAGGCGGTAGCAAAACTGCTAGAATGATTTGGGAAGTGAAAACGGATTTTTACTGATTGTGACCGCCGAGCCTCTTAGTGAATTATACATACGTGTCAATGTTTGCCTTGTAGATGTCAGCCGTGCAGAAGAAACAGAACATTTCATTGTGCCAACAGTAAGAGTGTTAATCTCTCTCCCACCTCAGGGGAACTTTTACTGTCTCCATCTAGTGGTGGACTATGGAGGTGCATGGCTTTTTAAACAAATTTACCATGCTGATGGTTATGGGTGAAACGTCAACAAAAGCTCATGTGGGGAGAACAACAGTGTTGTAATTTGTGATAGCAATCTGCCTCCAGAAACACACACTTCCCACAAACACACGTAAACACTCAGGTTTCTGCAACGACAACAAGAAGAGCGAAAGAAAGAAAGAAACGCACGTCGCTGTGTCCCCATGGCAACTAGCAATATTGTATCTCCCTCTTGCTTACTATCTCTTACACGCACGCTCCCTCTGATTTCATCTTTCACTCAGTCTTTGAGCGCACAAAAGCAAAAAGAAAAAAAAATGACATCAAATCACAAACGCCAGTCGCAGCGGGGGATTGCCTGTTTGCGCTTCACTCATTCAGTTATTGTGCGTTTAGGAAGAGAGAGAGACGCGATGAAGAGATAGGATAGAAGGCGTCAGGGTGTGAGGAGTTTGGGGCTTACGGGTTTTCTGGAACGAGGCCCAGAGCTTATCAGAGGCTAAAGCCTCCGTCGTCACTTTGGAGAGCCCTTCTCCTGCCAGAGAGCCGTCTTCTGCCTCACAGCAGCGTGCCTCGCGGTTCCCTCCTTTTTCTCCCATTGGCTGAAGCGACAAAAGAACATCTCCTGCGAGTGACATCATTACTCTCTGCCTCTCGCCGACAGGAACATGTCAGGACCACATGGCAAACATCCACCGGAGTGGAGCACTGTAATTTCCTCTCAAGTTGAAACTGAGCTATATTTATTGTGTGTGTGTGTGTGTGTGTGTGTGTGTGTGTGTGTGTGTGTGTGTGTGTGTGTGTGTGTGTGTGTTTGTAATACCTTGTGGGGACGATTTTCCTGACATATACTACGTTGTGGGGACCAATTGCTCCTCGTGGGGACCGGAGCCTGGTCCCCACAACGGGAAACCCTGTTTTTGGGTCAGGGGTCAGATTTAGGGATTTAGTATGAATTGAGTTTTGGTTAGGGTTAGGGATAGGGTTAGGTATGTGATGAAGGTAAGGTTTAGGCTGTAGAAATGAATGGAAGTCAATGGAAAGTCCCCACAAAGATAGCCAGACAAACATGTGTGTGCGTGTGTGTGTCAGCTATTCATCAAATTAGTCGTGCAGCTGAGGCCAAATTGAGTCCTTAGATGGGTTGAGGATGTTGGTGTTGTCGGTTTGGGCTCTACGGAGGCCACATGGTGCCGACAATATGCTTAAGAAAAAAGGAACATTCTAGACGATGTCGGCCAGCAAAGTCAGTGTCAGTACCGTGTGAAACGTTTGACAAATTTTGCAACACATCTTGAGAACGTCGGTGTCATTTCTCGAGGCAAATCAACACAGAAAAAAACAAATATTTGTGGTTTTTACATTTTTATTGGTTCAACATCTGAAAGGTTTGGTGCGTGTGTCTGGAGTCACTGAGGGAAACACTTTGGAAACAACTTTTTAGCGGAGTGACCGCTGCGGATTTGGCATATCTTCACCGTGATTCGCTCACCTGAGGACTGCTTTTCACAAAACATCTCATTCTAAATCAGCTAAACACAGAGCTAACCCCAAACCTCTTCCTCCAATTTATTTATCCTGCCTTGAACCATTTTGCAAAATATCCTTCTCTTCCACCTTGTAATTATGCAGCACTCTGTGTCGATCTTTCACATAAAATCCCACTAAAATCGAGTGAATTTCCTTGTTGCAACATGATGAAATTTCATGAATACTCATTCAGGGGACTATAAATTTCCATTTGCCACAACAGGCAAATCAATGCATTACTCTCATTGCTTAGCAAACGGCCATTGTCGCGGCACTATAAGTTTCAGCTGTTGACATGAAGCCAAAAGGCTTTTAGACTCAGAGATTATGGCCATCAGCGACAGAAAAGGGTTGCGGTAAACGTAAAGTAAAGCTCTCCGTCTATAGCTGGAAAAAAAAAAAAACATAAAACCAGCAGCAAGACCCGCTGGCTGCTGGATTATGTCATTCTCTCAGCATTTGCAGTTTCAGACATTTTTCAGCTCAGATGACAGGTAATCTAATAACGAGGTGATGCAAAGCACATTAAACTGTGTGAATCCACATGTGTTGTTGTGATGCCGTTGCCATGGGGACTTATTGGATAATCACAGGAAAAATTTACCTGGTTGAGTCTGACCCTGCAATCGCTCATGTTTATGAAGAGAAGAGCGGCGCTGCATGGTGGAGAGAGGAGGGTGGGGGGAAAATATTAAAGCAGAAGAGGGAGTTTTACCAGAAGGGAAACTATGAAATGAATGTGGAGGTGAAACAGGAGGTACTGTGTGACCTTTTCAGTCATCAGTGTGTGTGTGTGTGTGTGTGTGTGTGTGTGTGTGTGTGTGTGCGTGACCCACGTGACCGTCGAGCATCCAGTGCCGGGTCCTGACTTCCTCGTCTATCTTCGGTAATTGCGTTACTTTTCGAGCGTTGCACAGTCCCATGACTGCTCAACGGAGAAACGGACCATCGTCAGCATGAAAAAAACAATCCATTGTTTTGTTTTCAGACTTGGTTTGGTGAAAGAAAGAGAATCCTTCTGGAAGTACAGTTCAATTTTGCCATGTTTATATGATTCACATCAGGACATAAAAAGTTGTACAGATTCTACTTTGCTGCCTTCTTTTTTCTTTCATCTGTGTTAAGCTTGAGTAAAATGTGACAACTGTTAGGCTGTAAAACTTGTGTAAGGCAACAGGAAAGGTGTGTTTGTACTCACAGCATGCTGTTGTAGTCTGATAGTTGGATGATGGGGTGAGGAGGAGTCGGCTGCTGTGAGAATCAGGGGCTATAAAAGGCTTTTTCTTTGGCCACAGCCAAACATCCTGAACCACAGCAGATCCTGCTCCCGTCTGGACCTGAGGACCAAACCCAAACGAAGGTAACCAACGTTCTTATCTGGTTCTGTTGCAGATTTCCAACAAGTCTGGAAGATAACTTTAAATCTGTTGTATTTAAATTCTCCAGCAAAACGGAAATTTTTATCGATGTGTCAGTCTTGAATAAGCTGTGTAAGCATACACAGAGAAGTATTTACCTTTATACTGCTGCCAGAGAAGAAAGGTTCAACTAATGGAAAGCAGTGGCGACATAAATCTAAGCAACTGAGATAATTACAGTGAGAGTGAAAATGGAAAACAGCTAAATCAAAGCATATGAATGGCAAAAAATATAAAACTTAAGAGACGGACTTAACAAATATAGCACCGATGAAACCAACTATTTACATGCAATGTATAAAAAGACACACAACCAAGCCTTTTTTTCTCTCCTACAGACAAAGCTCTTCCTGTTTAGGTCAGGTAATATTACCAATTTCTATTTCATAAATAACAGAATGTTGAGACAGAATTTTTTTTTGTCATGATGTAACGACCAGAAAAAAAAAATCAAAGAAATTTATTTTTCCATATACTTCACTGACTTCTTCGGTTTTTTTTTCTTTCTTTTTGGTTGTGAGAGCTAACGCAAGCTAAAATAAATAAACTGAACCCAGTCTTTTTCTGACAGGCAGCATGGATGTAAGCAGTACATCAAACTCTCAGATCCCCACACTGGTAAGAATGACGGTTTTTTTTTTCTTTTTTCATATTTCCCCCTGTGAATAAATGCTTAATTGTTTGCATTTCCAAGTAGGTTTCCTCCATCTTGTCCACTCTGTCTCTTCCCCGTATCTCCCTGCTGGCTCCTGAACCTCCTCTCTCTCCGTCTTCCCCTTCTCCTCCGTCTCAGCATGCGGACGCTCTGTGTGGCGGCTGCCCGCCCTCTGGTTCTGCTCCGCAGTCCGGCGGCCTCTGGCCCACTCTGCCGCCGTCCGGAGCCGGGTTCCCCGCGTGGCCCGGTCAGCCCACCCAGCCCGTGCCGTGCTGGACCGGCCAACCAAACACCGCGTGCTGGCCCGCTCCCCAACCGGCTCCGGTTTCAGTTCCCGCTCCTATTTCAGTTTCCGCACCGACTCAAGTTATAACGCCACCGGCACCGACCGCAACCTTGGTCCCAGCGCCAGTTCAGGTTCCGACTCCCGCAGTCCAGCAGCCCTGTCAGCCATGTTGGCCAGCCACGCAGTACCAGCCGTCCCAGCAGCCGGCTCCGATTCAAACCCAGGTGCCTGCTCCAGCTCCGGGCGCCACCACCATCCACCCGGGCTTACCCGGCTGGCCTGCTCACCCTGGCTGGCCTTATAACCCAGGACAGTCAGGATGGCCCGGACAGAATCCGTCTATGATGGTGCCCCACTGGCTTCCCCCCACATCTGGACCTATGGTCAGTGAATACAAGGCGTCCAGCGGACATCTGCACCGCAGTTCTACTGCTGTGCTGTCATGATGCTTTCTTATGCTTCTCTCTCACTGTGCAGAGTGTGCCGTACAACTTAAACCTGGCTCGAGGAGTATATGACAAAATGATGATGACAATCCTGGGTTATGTCAAAGCCAATGCCAACATGTGAGCCTCTATCTGATGATTAGTGTTCACAGCTCATTTTATCATGTTACAAACACATTTCAATGTATTTTGTTGGGATTTTATGTGATGGACCAACACAGCCACCCAAACACAAGATGTACATTCAACTTAAACCTGTGTGGATGACGTCTAATGGCTATTTCAGGCTGACTGCTTCTTCATTTGGCCCAGAGAAATATGCTAAAAATAGATCTGGTGCCACCCAATTTTTCTCCTTTTCATTCACATTTAACCACATCTATATTTGCACTCTTTAAAATCCAAACTTGGCACCATTTCGCAGGAAAAGTTGTGTTAATGAAACTCATGCCCGCAACATGACGGTGCCACCACCGTATTTCTCAGAGGAGGATGGTATGTTTGGCGGGATGTGCAATATTTCTCCAGCTGTTTCCAGAAATCCCAACAAGTTAAATGTTGGTCTCACGTGACCGGAGCACCTTCCTCTGTTTGTTTCGTCCCCTGCATGAGTTATGGCAAACTGTAAACTAGGGTTCTCATGGCTTTCTTTCAAAAATGGCTGTCTTCTATATAGAGCCTCCCGTCTTCCAACAGTCCCACTACTAATTTATCTAATTTTGAAGGCATTTATTCCACTTTTCATCTGCGCGTCTGGATTAGTACGTGTTGGTCTACCTCATTAAATCCCAAATGTAAAACACAAGAGCATGCGTGGTTGACTTGACAACAGACAACGTGCATGACTGTTGTGCAACAACGTTTAAATGTAAATGTAGGGAATGAATATGAGCGGCCTGGTTCCCCCCCTTTAGGTTCACAGTCAACTTCCTGAGAGGCAACGACATTGCCTTTCACATCAACCCACGCTTTAACGAGGGGGGCAAGCAGGTGGTCGTCAGGAACCACAAATTGGGAGATCGCTGGGGCCCGGAGGAGAGGGACCTTAAGGGACCCTTCCCTTTCGCTCCTGGGAGCCCGTTTGAGGTGAGAAAATTAAAGTCAGGGGATTTAAGCGGCTATAGATCATTTATTTTACTCCTCTAAAAGGGTTTGTTTTGTGAAGCTATACCAAACTGAATGAGACGCTGCTTACGTAAAACAAAATATGGCAATCTAACTCAACGATACACTTCTCATCTCTTAACTGCCAGCAGAACGTGCAAGAGCTTATCGCTTAAAGTTGCAGCAGGCTATCATTGCTGAACAGCAGGTAACTGACTCCAGGTCACTTTTTCATGGTTAACGTCAGGCTAACGTTTGGAAAAGGTTGGAAGGCCGTTTGTGCAGTCGGATCCTAGATAAGAGTGCTGCTTTACTGCAGGGAGGCTCCTGCAGGTCAGTGGGGCTCTCACGTAACGCGAAACATGAATATTAATCACACGTAACAACCAGGAGCCGTCTGACCTGACGGACGCCGTGTCGGTCTGTGGTGTTGAGAGACACACTGAAGCAGTGGCTCAGATGTCTTTAGATGTTTTTGCTTTCACCGAGTTCACGAAAAAAAAAAAAAAAACACGGCTCTGTTGTTGCTTTGTCTTCCTCCTCCCCCAGATGAAGATCCTTTGCACTCCCGAGACGTTCAGGGTGGCGGTGAACAACATCCCGCTGTTCGAGTTCCGCCACCGCATCCGAGAGCTGAACCAGATCGACCGGATCAACATCCTGAACGACGTCGTCCTCACCTACGTCAACGTGGAGACGCTTCCTTAGATTCTTGTGCAACTTTTCACTCCGAAAAAAAGCACGGATTATCGGCTAAGTTTAAGAAATGTGCTTAAATCTAAACATTTTTATTGCAGTTTCCTGAAACAACTGACTAAAGAAATGGTGAACAACTTAGATTGTTTTCAGAATGAGCTTTAACTTATCTCTTGGGAGGAAAAAAAAATCTAATAGCATTGGCTGTGTTTACTTCTAGGGGTCAGCATGAACTAATGGTAGCATTGCTTTTTAATGATTCACATATCCAGGTCTTTTTCCAGGTTTTATGTCGCAAATAATACAAACTTGATCATGTTTTATAAAACATTTTGTTGTTTTTTTACAGATAACAATCCTGGACAAACACTAGCTAAAATAAAATCCAGTTAACCATAAAAAATGTAAATGAAAGTTGAAATGATCTCACAGAATAACGGTAAAAAATAAATAAATAAAAAAAAAACGAGTTTTTTCCTGAATATTTGTTGCAAAAATCAAGAGAAAAGCATCAAAATGTGCATGTTCATGCAATGTTTACTTTTTTACAGTGATGATTAAATAATAATGATGATTATGTACATTTGTGTTACATATAGCTAAAATAAGCACAAACTACAGCCTTTGAAATGGATTTAACCATTTATTGCATCTTTATTTTTCAGTTTGAAGAGTTTGTCCTAATTGTTAGCATTATTTTGTTTATTAAATAAAATGTCACTAACTACGATGTTTCTGTAAAGTGAATCTTAAATAAAGGTTTGAGTAGGAAATTGTTCAGTTTTCAGTTTATTTTGAAGAGAACAAACTCTTTCAGAAAAATACAAAATCTCAGAGCATAAAAAAAATAAATCTAAACAAAAGTATAACCAGGATTTTGACGAATAAAAGTAGACATTAAACACTAATGAGACTACACATATTTCAGTAATATTAAAGATCCTGTTGGCACAAAAAAAATATAAAATTGACGTACACTTCGTTTGCTCTAGAGGGATTTCTGCCAAATGAATCAGAAATCATTAATAATTTTTCATAAATCCATTCCCAGTCAATAAAACTTTTTTTTTCCTGAAAAAAAAACAAGCAGAAACATTTACAGTACTGTAAATTACAGTGACATCCCGATAAACTCATTTTCTTTCAGTTTATCCCAAAAACCTTTTTCAATGACGCTTTAAAGATTTAAACGTCTCATATTTACCCTCAGTAAAAATCAAACCATCCGTCATTAAGTCAACACATACAAAAGACAAATTATAGTTGAATAAAAAGCAAGGCACTTTTACGGAAGAAAACTAAAACTAAATACTATTTCAGTGCTTAATATTCAGCTGACATTCTACCAGCTCCTCTAATCACGACGGCGTTCCCGAGTTTGCGTGAATTGTTTATATATTTTTTTTGTGTGCAAATGTGCAAATAGAAAAAGGTGCCGTTCACGTTCTGTTGCTCCTGCACGCCTCGGTCTCGTCAGGCGGCTACTGAAAACGGCGATGCCATCCGCTCAGGTCTTGGTGTCCAGCCTTCTCTCCACAGATTTCAGCAGCAGCTCGGCGTACTGCTCCAGCAGAGCCAGTGCCTTGTCTCCGTCGCAGTTTATCACGGGGGCCGCTTGGGGCCCCGAGGAGCCGAGGGGCAGCGAGTCCAGCTCGGCCTTGACCCTGAACAGGGCCTCGGACAGGAGGCGCCTCATCTCGTGGTGGTCTGAGCGCTGCGGCTGGTTGCTTTTCAGTAACTGTGTCAGGGAAACACATTAAACCAGTCAATCGGGTGGAATATTTTTTTAGATCTTCTGGTTTTGTTTTTTCTTTATTTTGTTTTATAGATTACAGTGTGTTCATGAATTCAGATGAAAAACATCTTGAATAAAAACTCAGTGTGGTAGAACACTTTAACTTATTAAATCTTGCAGCAACGTGCGATGGCAGAAAAATAAAAGTGTCTTTTGAGCGTGAAAATGGTTTGTGAAAATGTCTAAGATTCAGAAAACAGAGACCCCTCAAAGCACAATTTTACAAACAGTGTAAATGAGGAAAAAATGACATTTAAAAAAAACCAAAAACAAGACATAGCCAGAAATCTGCAAATAAAAAAGTCATTTTTTAAAAAACAAAGTACATCTCTACAAATGTTAAAGTTGCAGGCAAGCTCCAAGAGAAATCTCTGATGAAAGAGATAATAAAGCTGACAGTAATGTTTTTAAATGTATAGAAATCAGCTGAGATGTGTTTGCAAAAATCTGTTTCGAGACAATGAAATTTGGCAGCTTGAAAACCTCAAGTGAGCTGTTTTCAAAAGCAACTTTCCCGCAGTGGGTTCAATACAGGAAGTGAGCGCATCAGCTTCTACCATTCAAAGATGCAAATAAAACTGAGGTAGAGAAGATCAGATAAATTCAACTTTGTTTCTTTAAGAAAACAAGCCATCTCTAAGGTTTTCACTCACTTTTTCCTTTCTTCGTGTGTTCGGTTTCTTTGCTCGGTCTCTCCGACCGTCTTACTCACCGCAGTGTACAAAACGACGGCTCCCCTCAGACTCTGTCGAAGATCGGTGACGGCTTGCCTGCACGTCTCTAAGGTGACGGAGTGATCTGCAGCGAGGAGATGGAGAGAATGACTTTCAAGTTCATCACAGAGTGCCTGCGAGTCAGAGCGAGCTCACACGCACCGAGGCACGCTCTGCCGCTGAGCAAAGCAGAGAAAACAGAGAGCCTGCAGTGCATTGAAGAGGGAAGTGGCTGTGTGAACGGTGCAAAGGGTGAGAACAATTGATTTTTCACCCAATATCCTCCAGAAGGATACAGTTATCACTGACAGCGCAGCAGATAATTCAATGTTCCAGCTTGATGGTTCACGTGTGGATGGAAGAACGTAACGTGGCATGGATGTTACCTGCCGAAAAACTCAAGAGGGCAGCCATTTTTCAAGATGGCCGCCATGATCGTCAAGGAAAATTTCTTTTTGTCTAATTTTGCCAGTGAAATCATAGATTAATGTTTTTGTGGTGAAATCATTCATACTTGGACCCATAAAGGTAATATTTTTTCAAAAGATTGTCAGTTGACATGCAAATTACTTTTTTGCACTAAAATCACAAATTAGATTTATATGTTTGGTGTCGCATACATATCTTTGAACCACAGAAATCATATATATAAATTTTTCTGGTGGACATTTTTCAAAATGGACGCCATGCTTGTGATGGAGAATATATGTTTGCACTAAAATCGGCAGCATTTATTAGCCACATATTATCATGTTAGGTTCACTAACCACTAATTTGCTAAACAAGAATCTTAGGTCCGCTTTTGCTAAGCTGTAAAACAATTAGCAGAAAAAATGTAGCGAAAGCTAACGCTAACCACTAGGACGACTGGTGTGAAACTCTAACAATCCTCAGTTTCAGTTTTGACGTCTGATTTTACTACTTATTATTACTTTAAAGTTGTATAAACAGGATGACCCAAGTCGAAAACATGACGTGACATAAAGTTCGTCCATGTCGTGAAAATGGGAAACATTTTATGGCAGTAATCGGTTTGAAAGGCTCAAAAATGGTGGCCATCTTGGAAAATGGACGTCATCCTGAAAATCAAGTTGCTGATGAAAATATGAAAAACACGCGGGGAGAACACGCACATTTTTATGCCTGTATCCACACTTAAAATACTTTTTACAGTAAAATGCAGCACTATTAGTGGCACTTAAGAGATCTGAAACCAAACACAAACGTATTTCTCTCGCTTAAATTTTTCACCTAAACAAAGAGGAGGCATGAAATGTCAAACCTGGCTGCGGGCTCGATGTGCGGTCTTCTCCCAACACCAGAGGGCGCTCTTTAGCCACCTGACCTCCCTCAACACTGGGAACAAACATTAAAAATGTATGTTACTTACAGACGGGACGTTGATCTTACGTGGGAAATGGCATGCCCCCGCCCCCAAAAAAAGGGAGATTTTCTCACATGGTGTCACTTTACAGCCACAGACCTCTTTTTATTGGGATTTTATGTGACAGACCTTCAGAAAGTAGGGCAAAACTGTGAAATGATACATAGTTTTCAACATTTTGTATCACTGGCTTGGTGTGTTCGTCACCCTGAACACATCAACCCTGCAGCATTCCTGTTCAAACCAAAAGCACTCAACACTTCTTGGATTTTTGAAACCATGAATATTTTTGTCTTGAATGTCACAATTATGTACCAGTCCACTTTGTGTTTGCCTCGTACGATAAACAAGTAAGAAACGTGGAAGTTTGCCGTTGTAATGTGACAAAACATGTAAAAGCAAAAGAGGCGTAAATACTTATGCTTCTTTGAAATCCAGTTTAACTTTACCTCTCAGGAAACTCGTCTCTTTTCTGCCTCACTGGCAGTGAACTCGGTAATGGAGAATCCAGACATAAGGAGAGTTGTCTGCATCGCGCTGAAACCAGGAGAGATGCAGACATATTATTACACATTCAACCCCTCAGCCGTGTGTGTAGTTTCCACAGTGTGTGCCTCTCTTCTTGTCTAACCTTGTGTTTTATCTGGAACATCACAGCGAACATCCATGGTGGAAGCAGAAGCCCTGAGCCTGGATGCGGAGCAGCCTGGAGTCGGCTCGGCGTCCAGGCACAGGCTGCGCCGCGAACTCAGAGGCTGCTTTGGGAGCGGGATGCGAGAGGCCGCGGCGTTCTGGGTCAGCCGCCCGGCTGCCTGATGACCCAGAGGGGAGCTTCTGGATGACATGGACGACTCAGACAAGACGGAGGACGGGAAACAGAGGCTTGGCTCCGCCTCCGCCTCGCCGGGTGACCTCCTGTCTTCGGGGAAGCCCGGGGAGCGAGGCGGCGACTGGCAAGGCTGGACACCGTCCCTCGGAGAGGTGGAGCGGCTGCGTTTGGCATTGGAGCTGGCTGTGGGGTTCATGTAGGAGTGGGTGGGCTTTAGTTTGGGACTCTCCCATGGCGGGGGGGATGGCGAGGTGTGTGGTGACCCGGAGGACGGGGACGAGAAGTAAAAGGAAGGCTTGGAGGTGGAGGTTGTCCAAAGCAGCTGCTGAGGTCTCTTCTGCTGCTCCCTTTGGACACTAGGGGGCACCGGGGAGTGAGACGCTAGAAAAGGAGGGATGGAAAGATAAAATGAATTCTTCTCAGAAAATTTTTTTTATTTTACATGCTGGTGGAGAGGATTTGAAATTTGTATGTTGATTCATTTAGTAGATTTTTTTTTCTCAATAAAGACTAATGTGTAAAAATTGAGACATAAAGGAAATATGTTTAGACTTCAAACAAAATTATCAAAACATTAACACGATGACATCT